TTTTTAATGAACAGTAGCTTCTCTGCTTTATCAGCCATAAGTCTGTTCCTCTTCTCATCAAGCACATGAGAGGCAGCGCTGAACAGTCTCTCGCTGTCAGTGCTTGTGATTTGATCTTACTTCGCATATTTGTCCGGGTGTTTTGATTTCAAGTGGTGGAGTAATCCCGAAGTGGTGAAAGTCTTTGCAGTTACACCCCCTCGAGAAATGTCAGCTGAACACGTTTTACAAATCGCAATCTGCGCCTCTTTCTCTGATATTTTTAAATATCTCCAAGCGCCAGACATGTTGGCTGTGAGCCAGCCGCGAGCATGGTGGCGCGCCGTGCTTGTCGCCGCTTTTTGATTACGTCATCACAACAACACGTTAGCTTACCAACGTAACCCTGTTCCCTGACATTCGGTGATATTTTTTCGGTGCTAAAACCCTTTCGGCCGAAAGCCGAAACGGCCTTTTTAACCATTTTCGGCCGATAATTTTCGGCGGCCGAATATTCGGTGCATCCCTAATTCTTACCTTTGACATGTGGCCAGTTTTAATGCTCAGCTTGAGCCACATTTTAATTACGGTCTATCTTATGTTACACTTTAAAAGGGTGCCTTATTGGTCTATTAATTGGGCAATTGGCTAAATAATAAAAGTGGAACATAAAAAAAAATTGTAATTCTGAAAAAGTGTAATTTAATAAAAAAGATATAGTATTTTTGTCTATTCTCCCAAAGCACCACTCTTGCAGTCTTACTGATAAACTCTAATGATGGTGTTGGGTAAGTCATAATATATAAGTATCACTACATCACAAATGAGCATAAAAACTACAGTTATTCTTCGGATATTATCCTCCATTTCCAAACGCACCTAAACCCCAAAGACAATTGAGAGTGTATGCCTTAACAAAGCCATCAAAGGTAGAGCTTCAGTAGTTCCCACTTGAAAGTAATTTGTCACGTCAAGTTAACACATGAAAACAAGCTCCTCTTTTTTTCTGCTAACAACGGATACAAGATTTAAACCGTTCTTGAATGAGTTACTCACAGTACGCTTCAATGCTGTGGGTCTTAAAGTGAAAGCAGGAGATAATCATGATGATGGGCTAAATCTGACACACTCCTGAGCCCTGCCCCACATTCCATTATCAGGTCATGTCGAAATGATCCATGTATAACACACCTGTAGCTCCAAATCGACATTATTGTGTCTTACAGTTGCTAGGCTGAAAAGATTATCGGACACTTTTGGACTGGGTTAAAACAATGAAACGATGTATGGAAAATGGCCAAATGTAAAAGTAATTAAGGGAGTTGAGTCTTATAGGGTATTTTTCCACCTATTGTCCCATTCTTGTATGTCCAACTGACCAATAGGGACAAAACATTCATTAATTGGTCCAGGATCGAGCCACAAAACAGTTTGCAATGTAAACCTATTGAGCATTTGCATACCATAGATTTATTGTCCAATATAAGTGTTTATTTTTCCCATTGGCAGGCTCAGATTGTTTGTCTGGCAACATTCCGGAAAGGACCTTACAAAGAAATAAAGTGTTTTCTCCTTTCTTTTCAAATGTCTAACCAAGTCTCCCTAACGGAGAAGTCTCAAGAGGTCCAGGCTTCATCCACATGATCAAAAATAAGCCCAATAAGTCAATACATTTTGGATAACAGTTAGCTGTGCTTTTCTGTCCTGCAACACAACACACTCTTCCTTTCAGTCTTCTCAAACTATCAATTACTTTTTTAAACAATGTTTAAGTCATCTCTAGAAAGATAAAAGCTTCAGCTAAATGCAATGTAATGTAATACAAATAAGCTTAAATAAGCCATTTGATATTCCCACAAGGTCACATGTGCTACATTTTAGAAAGCGGAATACAACGACTGAAGAAGTAATCAATCTGCCCTCCCCCTACCAAAAAAAAGCCACAATTACATTTAGTAATTTGTCAGCGCACGTGAGGGATGTGTTTCATTTAGTGTGCTGAACCCTGTATTTTATAACATGAATTTATTGTCGGCCTTGACACAGAATAGCAACTTAATTCCCAGGCAATTTGGCAAAGGTGCACCAACACTGGGTGTAAATCAGGAGTGAAGAGCGATGAGGACTGTGGGGGAGAGCAGAGTGGGGGGGCCTCAGTCGCTCGACAGTGTGCTGTTTGCAACATTATCTTTGACATTTTATGACCGCACTAGCTGCAAGCGCAGAAAAAGGTCATAGGTTCTGGATTTTAATGAGGCATCAATGCATTATTCTACGTGTCTGCCATAATGAAGACAGGAAGGCACTGTGTCATGTTTACAGGCTCACAGCGCACACTTTCATCCTAATATTCTAAATAGAAACTAGCAGCAGAAGTATCAGCATATTAAAGCTGCATTGCTTAAATGTTTTTATATTAATAACTGATAAATTGTGGAGTTTTATTTTCCTCTACAGAGCTTTAACGTTAGACGTGAGAAGTCATTAATGACCTAGGTTTTATGCTCTCTTATATACAATCAGACAACAAACAATATCATTTTATATTATGAAGTGGCGATAAACTGAAGTTAATTTATTTCATTTGAACACATCAAAAGTTATATTAATCAGAAGTGAACGACATTTTTAATCGGCAAGTAAAATACATCAGTTGTTTTGTATTTATTTTTAAGAAAGTCAAATTGGACATCTAGCGAGAAGGGCTGTCTCTTTTCCCAGTAATCGATTAATCAATAAGCCTATTGACAAAAACATTTATATTAACTATTTTGATCATTGATTATTTTATTGCAGTCATTTTTCAGGCTGAAATTGTAAAGCGATTACAAAATGATCAGATATAAGAGAGTATTGTATGGTGAACATAATATTTTTGGGTATAGGAATTTTTAAAAGAGTGCCCTCTACTGGACTACAAGCAAAATGTTGAACTGGAACAAGTCATTACAGTTTGAATATTTGACTTTCCCCCTTATTCAAATTTGAATTAAGTGGTGAAATCCTTACTATTGAGTGAGTGATGGAGTGAATAATGATTGAGCCTGAGATCCTGTCCTACATGAGGATACAGTAGAATCCACATTGATCGGTGGCAGGGGACTCAGGGATACGAGGAGATTAAACTACAGAGAGGGGTTATACCAGGAGAGGGACACAGAGAGGGGTTGCTTTTCAAATAAAGTGCAGAATCTGCTGATCTGAGCCCAGAACATCAGTTGCTCCGTGGAGCCTGCCAAGCCAGATTTCCTCATAGGGTTCTCGTCTGTCAGTGAAGGAAGTTAAATAGAAACGCATCCTTGAAGGCAAACACAAACAAGTCGTATTTCACACACAGACAAGTACACAGACACGAAATATAACTGGAGTTCAGAAAACATGCAGGTATTCTATTCATACCAGGACAGTGTGTGTGTGTGTGTGTGTGTGTGTGTGTGTGTGTGTGTGTGTGTGTGTGTGTGTGTGTGTGTGTGTGTGTGTGTGTGTGTGTGTGTGTGTGTGTGTGTGTTGAAGATGATTGACTTTGCCGAGTCTGCAGCAGAGGTCAGGTCTTGTATCTGCATCTCCTGACGCAGAAAATGCTTAGCAAAGCAACTTTGATCTCAGCATATGTTCCCAACCAGTGTTACTTTGCCTTGTTTTTTATGTTAATGTGTTTCTTCTCACTTCCCCCATTTTTGTTCTTCCTTTGTGTCTAAGAGTCAAAACCCTGTTTTTCATACATCTCTGCGGTTCTTTAGGGAAGTGGTGAAATGAAACGTACATTTTCCAAGTTCTGATCACGTGTCCCTTTAGCTAAGTATATATATTTAAACTCCCCTTTAGTTTCGTATAACACTGAGCAGAGAATGTTAAGAGGTATTTTTTTGGATCACTGAGATACTGTATATGCCCCCAAAAGAGCGTAATCAAAGTTATGTATAATCATCAACAGCCACGAAGCTCATTGTTTTTATGTATTACAATTATATTATATATTATATATCCTTGTCCACAAACCAATGTTTAATATGTCCTGGGTTTTTTTCTCCAGAATTCTGCACCACTAGGGCTACACATGAGGGAAATATGTGATTATTGCAAAAATTATAAATAAATAGATATTAAAGTGTACCTAGTTTTTCCCTTTTTACTGTTTCTAATATACTTCTAAAATACAGTGAATAAAAAACATAATTTTATTAAACAAATGTAATATTGAAATAAATACGAAAGGCACCAATAAAATGCAACGTTGATGATGATGACATTTTAAAGTGCCTTTTAAGTAGTTAGGTTTGAACTAACAAAAGAAAACCTTAATTGCAATATCTTGAGCAATGAGTTTTTCCGGCAAGTTGGCTTTGCAATAAAAAAACGAAAGTGCAGCGCCAACATGTACAGTATCTGATTGTTCCATTCTCCATGTATATCCTCCAGGGAAGGTGTACGTGCACTGCAGAGAAGGCTACAGCCGCTCCCCCACCATGGTGGTGGCTTACCTCATGCTGCGCCACAGGATGGATGCCCGGCTGGCGGTGGCCACCTTGAGGCAGAAGAGAGAGATCGGCCCTAACGACGGCTTCCTGCGCCAACTGTGCCAACTCAACGAGAAGCTGGCAAAGGAGGGCAAGCTGAACGGGGAGGTGGGCAAACTAAAGACCAAATGAAAAGCCTCACATCATGCCTTTCACAGACTTCCAGCCACTCTGGGAGTCTGACCCCACCCTGACCAAACCAGCACCCATCCGACACCAAGGAGTATTCCATACACAAACATACATGCATTTATCTGTGTAGAAAACTATTCCTCACACACACACACACACACACGCACACGCGCACACACACACATGCTGTTTTTTATCTTCAGTTCACGTCTGCCACTGCTGCTCTGTAAGAGGACATCCGTCAAATCTTCTGCCTCCTCCTACAAAGAGTGTGATCTTAAATACTTCCTCTTTCCAAAACACACACACAACGCTCCACACTTGCAGATCTCTCGCTGCATAAAGTGGTGACTTAAAGCATTCCTTCAATCTCCATAAGTTTGCCCTGATTTTTAAGATTTCCTTAATAAAAAGTAAGATTATAGCACAATCATTCCATAGTTTTCCACTGCCGGGAATGTCAGTGTTGTCTCCAACAGCAGGAGTATTCTTAAAATTCCAAACAAACGTTTAGATATAAAATGGCCACACATGATGCAGATAATATAGGTCAGAAAGTGATGTGTGAATAGATGGAGGGAAAATTCCAAACATTACAAGCCCCTCCACAGTTTGTACCCCTTAAATGATCTTCTTCCTTGAAGGGCAGATATTTAATGCACAAACACAAATGATTCACACTCTAATGCAAGCTGTAGCTCTGTAACATTCCACTCGGCATCCTGGACTCTCGGCCTCTAGTTTGACAGCGGTAGCGATACATCTGACACATTCTGTATCCCAGAGGCTCGCAGCAAGGACAGCAAAGGTCGAGCTTATTAAAAATAACGAGCTGCTGCGTGGGTTGCTCATGTAGCGGCCATGTTTCCAGTTGCTTTTTCAGTGACATTATTTTAATTTGTCATTGAGCTCAACGAGCCTGCACACGAGGCAAATCACATTCAGGCGAGTGAGTACTGGGAGCTCTATCCTCTAACATTCACAGAGGTAATCTACAGTATTTCAGTTCTAAAGTGGCTTGTTTACAATTACATATATATCATGACGTTATATTATTTTCCTGTAGAGCAGGACTGCATGACAAACTTCCTTTATCGGGATTACATTTATAGTTTGACATCCCTACAGTGATTGTGTTTTGGGTTATCAAAACGCAGATGACCAAAACGTACAATATAGACAGTATTTGTTGCCTTTAACTTAGACAACTCTCAAGTTAAGCCAGCTAATATAAATACGCTTTTCACACGCTTGTTGTGAAGACCTCCAAAAACATTAAAAGTCCTGAACAACAGGAGCACTGTTTAATTTATTTGACCTATCCTCTTTTTTCATTTAAATACTTTGATGTACTGCAGGTGAGGTAATGCTTCTGTTGTCTGCAGTATATATTTTTGTCTTGCGTTGTCAGCATCTTATCTTTATATTTTCGTCTTCTATCCACATTAAGCAGGTGTTTTCGTACTTGAAAAAATGTGCTCTTATGAAACAATGACGTAAGCGTGATCACTCATTTAAAATCCAATCACATAGCAGAGCTGTTAAGCCCTGCTGCTAAGCCCTGCTGCTAACAAATATTTGGTGTGGTCAGTTGTTTTTAAGATTTCCTACTTACCCACATTACCTACGGTACACTTACAGACTAGTAGCTTAAATGGGTTAAAGGCGAACTTCACCAGGTTTACCAATTTCAAACTAGAGGCCTTTAGTTTTGAGATGCCTCCCACTAACTCTTCTAACAGAGCGGTCCAGTCATCACGCCACAGAGTTGTCCACTGCCATACGGTCAGCACCACTGTTTCATCCACACAGTCTGTCAGAGGCCCTTTCCCAACATGGCTCACTCCTACATGTGTGTGTTAATTATGCCTGACTTTACACCCATACACATCGGGTCAAATTACAATGTTTTGTTTGTATGTACTTCAGCATTGCAATATATGTCAATACCCTGATCAGATATATAGAATGTAATCACATCTAAATATGACTATTCAGGCTCTAGTTGTTACATATAGGCAACAGTAGTTCTACAATACACTTTAAAAGTATTTATTACTTGGCATAATACTGTAAACTAAACCTAGTGCCAGGAAGGACGGAGATGGGGTGTCTTTAAAGGAATATTTATCCCACTAAAATGAACATTTATGCATCGATTACCCATGCTGTGTTACCTTGAAGAAAACCTTTTCCTACCTCGATGGTAACAACAAATTAAAAAACGTTATAGATGACATTTAACAACAGCAAAATGATATTGAAACGTACAATTATATACGCTCACTCTTTACCGTAAAATTATTGTAAAAACCGCTTGCCTAAACATTCTGCAAAAAAAAATGCAATTTAGATGTAGTGCGCATACAACTCAGTAACAGAGACTTGGATTTACTGCACAAGTGTTACGAGATAACATTTTTAAAGTTTTTCTGTTATTGAACTCATCCTCATTTTCTTTAAAATACATTAAAAAAACCTAACCATAACAAAAGAAAAAAGAGTTTTCTTCAAGAATACAACCTAACCCAAGAAGAGTCATTTCTATATAAATGATCATTTTAAGGTGTAAAGAATTCCTTCTAAACCCCCACTCCACGGAGCTGTTTTTCGAGGTGGACTCCCATCAAAGTGCAGGGGTTTGAGCTGGATCAGCACCAGCATCCCTCCAGAGTTCCGACTCTTTGTCCCACACATCACAATCCTCCTGAACAAACGGCCTCGGGGCATGAATGCAGGGGCATAGTCGTCTCACTAGAGAGGAGAATGGAAACTAGGTTGTCTCACCTCATTAATGGCACTATTTATTCCTCCTTTGATATATCTGTATACATATGAATATATACATGTATACTGTATATACATATTTAAGTGTTGACATATGTGAATGTATGAGCAATGTGTCTATTAACGTGTAGGTATCGTCAGTACGTCTTTATATATCATGTTATATTTGTATATGGTGCATCGAGGAATCCATCGGTTACATGTACATTCATATTGAAATGTAATGTACATGTAAACTGTTGTCTTTGTGATTGTGACGTTTCATAATTGTGCAAAAGTTGCTTATGATCAGCAGGGTTTACCAAGCTGGGATACTGAGGCATGTGATCATCCTGTTTGATAATGTTTCGTACAGTCTTTAAGTTTTCATGGTAGTTTATTCATAGTATACAGCAAGATGCAGGTGGCAGCATAAGATGGATATGAATTATCCTCCATATGGCCACACACGTCATCATGTCAAAGGATACACTCATCCCATCAAAAACATTTACAGCTAAATGTTATGTGATGATCTATATTTGAGTTTCCAGATACACTTTCCTTTTCAATGCAATGTTTTCAGCAGCAAAACAATTATCCTTCAATAGGCTGCAGACTCCTAGTAAAGAGAAACATCCAGTATGTGTTGTGAGATTTCATGATGAAAGAACTAATGTAGTTTTTGTGCAAAAAATTAAATAAGACTATTGTTATTATTGTAAGTCAGTTGCATATAAGCCGTATTTCAAGTCAGTTTTATACATGTGGATGTGTGCAAACTGCGGGAGAGTAATGCGACGGCAGTGGATAAATAAGACCTGCAGACTTGTTGCTGCTACTTGCGCCACCTCCAAATATTTGGGTTTGGTAATGTAACCTTTGAAGACATCACATTTGGCTTTGGGAATAATGATTTCACTTTTACATTGGGGAAAAAATACTCCAGACTGAAATTAAAATACAACCAGCGTGGTCAAATAGCAATCTAATTTAATAAAATCCAATCTTTTAATCCAATTTCAAAAATTGCATTCAAATGTCAAGTGTTTCTTTAGCCTTTGCTCATTATAGGATTAAAGATCATGTTTCAATCAAATATTATCACAGGAAGTTAGAAATTAGGTGCTGGTTGTTTTTTTCCTTTAGTCATCTCATGCACTTGAAAATGTTTCAAAATGTTAAAGCAACACACCCAATATCACATATCTTGCAAGCCCTCTTTCCTGTTGTGTGTCTAGAAAGATGAATCGGGTGCAGTGGCTCCAATTTGAGACCATTTTCAAGTCAAAATGTCTTTCAGTTCATTTTCCTACCGCCTTGTCATGAACCCCAAACCATACAGCAGCGAAGATAGATTGAAGATACAACAAAAAAAGAGAAATGCTTACCTTTGTGCCCTCACACAAAAACATTAAACACCAAGATTGTCTTGTGCCAAGTGGCCTACTGTACAAAATACAGTCAATGTTTATGATTGGCTTTTTAAATGTCATTCCAATGGGCTGGGGTTTCACTCACCAATTTTCACATCTGCTCTACAATACTGCCCTCCTTCTGAATTCACACAAGCAACAACTATTTAGGATTTCTGGAGTTTTACATAACAAAAACTTGAGAATGATTGCCCTAAACTCGGTCCAGGATGAGGGTATGTACTTTATAGCATCATAACTCCCGAGATAGGGTCTAATAAACACTAGCCAAACTAGCCATGGTAGATGTTTTCCAACGCATTTTGTAGCCACTATTTATAAAAGAAAAAAATCCTCCTTTTTGGACGAAGAAAAGATAAAAAAAGTTTTCCTAAAAGGAAAGCGTCTATGATGGCTACACCGCTGGTTTTACTCTTTTTACGCGTAACAGATATACACTGCCACCTGCTGTTCAACAAATGTTGTTATTTTTAGCATTACTCGTCCGATCTTTTTTAATGTCTTTAATGTGAAACTCTGTTATGTCCAGACTTCCTGTGTTTTGTTTAACAAGGTACCAGCATAGTTTTGTGGGTAATACTCCAGGTACAGTACTAAATGTATTATCGAGAATGTCTAATGTGAAATGCCATTGATGTATTTTGTTATATATACTGAGTATGTATCACGGACTAAGGCAATTGTGAATTGCTGCATTTTACGGTCTTAACCGGCCGACTATATAGATAGGACTTTGTATGATGTTGAATCTAGTGAGCTGAAATTGCAAATTATATGACTTCTTTCACCTTTTTAATTTGTTTTATTTATTTAGATTTGTCCTGTTACAAGAATGTAAGTTGATTATAGTTAATTACATTTTCCCTGCTAAAATAGACTTTTTTTGGAACAGTAGGATTGTGACCTACTTCTATTGTCTTAAGCTTAACACAGTACGTCATTATCTGTTTTTATTTTCTTTCGGATGAGTCACCTATAATGGTACCTGGACCAGATGGTAATTGTAATTCATTCATGGTGCTTGCCTGGAAACCAGAAAGAGAGGAGGATTAAATCACTCCGAGAGAGCCAGGTAGTTTTTTTTATCACAGTAAAGAACACTAAATTGACTTTGAGTCGAATGCGCAGTCCCATGTGGCGTATCTCAGCCATCTGTGCTGAAGTAAGCAAAAACCTGAGATGTTTAAACCCTCTGTGACTGACTGTCAATATTTTACATCATGGAAAGTCATCTGGCTGAACTTATCTGAATTTTGCATGATGCAATAAACTCCATCCGATCTGGTACTCTTGAGAGCGCTCAAACAAACACCGGAAATGACTTACAAATGCTGTTTGGACCAGGTGAAGTGCAGAGCTGCCATGTCCTTCTTCTTGCTCCCATTCTTAAAAAAATAAGAATTGTTTTAGCACAATGAGCCCACTGCCTGACTCCACCCGGAGTCCATGACACAGTCCACGTCTTATCTCTTCACGTTTCTGTTGGTGTACAGATGTTTCGGAGGATTATGTTGTGATTTTGGATCAGCTGTTCAATGGGTATTCCACATGTATATTTGTCACCGCCACTGACATCTCAATGAACACAGCACCCCACCCAAAGCCTTACAGTAAAGATTGATTCTTTAGATTGTTTTTAAGTTTGTGTATCTTACTTCACACAGCAGGAAGGGATGCTCCCTTACAGGATGAGACATTGTTGAAGTGCACTTGATTTTAAATTGCAATGTTGAGTTTTCTTACCTTGAAGAAGTCCCTTCTTTCTTATGTTTAAGAAATAAATGGCTGAGGTACTAACATCTGATCATGACTGTCCTCTTTTTGGCTTCCAAGGTGTATGGTTTTGGTATATTGGGTGTATACAGTATAAATACATTCTCAGTGTTTTCCATTTCATACAGAGCATGGAAACAAATCAGTTATACTGTCCTGTAAAACAAAGTTTAAATTAGAGCTGCTTCAGAATTGTTATACTTTTTACTTTTCTTTCTAACTTTCTCAATTCACCACTACTCAGTATATATCTTCTTAAGACATGAATCTTACAAAATAATGTTGAAAGATTTAGGCTAAGGCTATAATAAACATTTTTAAAAGAGGTACAGTAGTGCTTTTGTCGTTTCCAATGGCGGATATTCCTGTATCCGTTTAAACTAGTGGAGCAAATTAAAAAGTGGTAGTCTATGATACAAAAATATAGCAAGCAAAGTGCCAACACAAGTATGTGCTTGAATATATATCGAGTGGGTGAAATCTAACAAAGTAACTTGCATTTACATACTTTTGTACATTACTCTTATATCACTCACAGTACATACTTTAACTGGTTTTGAATGCAGTATTTATAATGTGATATTTTTATTTTTATTAAAGATTTGAGTATTCCACAGCTGAGTAATTGTTAAGAGACTTAAAGGTCCCATGTCATGCTTTTCCGGTTATTACCCGTCCCCATTGTGTGTTATGAAGGTTTTTATGCAAAAACGGTCTGCAGAGTCACAAACCCTCAAAGTACACCCTGTGGCGAGTAAATCTCTAACACTAACACAAAAGGACCTGTCTATGCTGCCCCAGAACGCCTCGTTGGAGATTTCTCTTTTTCTTCCTGGGTACAGTGACGTGCCCATACCCAAATGGACCCATTGGTCAAAATGGACCAATCTGTGGAGCTGTTGCGTTACGTCCGCGGAGCCGTTACGCTTCCTCACACACACTCAATCTTTTCTCAGCTGCAGCTCCGCCGATTTCTCCTCCCTGAGACGGTGGGACGCGGCGAGGTTGTGAGTCGGTGTGTGAGCACCAGTGTTGGGACTAACGCGTTACAAAGTAAACTTTTTGCAGTAACTAATAGCGTTACTAGTTACATATTCCCATTAAATAACGGCGTTATAGTTACTGTGATTTAAATGGGTGCGTTACTGCGTTACATTATGTGATGGAACGACAGAAATCTCGCCTGGCGGATGTAATTTACAGGTCGAATACAGGGCGATGTTTCTCTCACCGCGCCATGGAACGGTGAACGTAACGCACGAGAGGAGTGATGATAGTTTACGGCGGCGGTAGAACATTTCAGGATAAGCCAATCTTCTGAGGACAANCAGACGGCCACTTGGCTCATAGGGAGAGGGGGCAGGAGCTCCAACAAGCCGTGTAGGACAGAGAGTGAATACACATACAGAGATGCTGTATGAGAAACCAATGTGAGTTTGGAAAATTGCACAGTATAAATCTATTTTAGTATACCTCAACAATGGAATTATGATCAGTAGAAATGGCCGTGACATGGGATCTTTAAGACATGTGACTATGATGTATTTCGTTGAAAGCCTTACCTCAGCTTTTTACTTCTGGGGCATTTAATTTACGCTTCAAGTGTCATAAAAGTGATGTTATTATGTGGAATTTCTGCTGAACAAAACGTGTAAGTATCATGTGTTTGACACATATCTTATTTTCTGCAATATAACAAAAACTAATGAAAAATAAAAATAAATCGCAATGCTATTCGACGAATAATAATAATAATAAATTATATTTACATTTGTACATGGTGGACAAACAAAACAAACAGACAATCAAAGGGCAAAGTAAATAAAGAAGCCGGGGGACCTAGAAGATGCTAACTTTCATATTCATTACTGCACAACTCCATTGGTTTTTGGTTTGGGTTTCAATGGGATATGTTGACAGCTAAAACTATAAAGAATTAGCTAGAGCTATCATCACTGCACCATTCTATTGCAAACTTGTAGAGTTTCACAACTGCATTTTTTGCAAAGATTTGATGTAATAACTGTGAAAAACAGTCCGCTGACATGCATAGACCCGCCAAAGTGACCAAAACGGCTTCTGTTGTTGTTCCTTGTAATGAAACTACATACTTCAGTAATGCAAAATATCATGTATTTTGGCTATCCACTATATTTACATGTACAGTATATGGACTACTTTGCATGATGACAAGGACAAGCCTACCATGAGCACACCAAAGTATGTGAGGTGGTCACAGGAGCAGATGACATCATCTGCTCCTGTGACCACCTCACATACTTTGGTGTGCTCATGGTAGGCTTGTCCTTGTCATCATGCAAAGTAGTCCATATACTGTACATGTAAATATAGNCCCCACGCGCACATCCAGATGGAAAAAGAATAAAACTCGTGCGGTAAAACTTTACTGAGCTGACCGACAAGAGAGAAGCAACAGAGCCAGAGCACACAACTTAGCAATAGCCAGATCAGTGCTAGCCACGTGGCTAACTACACGACATCATTCGCAGATGAGGAATTTGTGTAATTTTTTGTTAATTACATATATAAAAAATAACATGTATAAAGTATTCATAGAGTGTAACCCTCTTTAGGCTGTGGCACAGTAAGAGAAAAGACAACTCCCCATCATTGTAGCAATTATCATTACGAAATGTAGTGGAACAATAAAACACAAAAGATATGTTTAGACATTGGTTGAGACGGTGGGGTCTTTGGCGACTAGTTTTATAGCCCCATGTACATTAGTTAGGTGCTTCAGGAGATTGGCATTGCTGTTATTCGATGTGGACAATGCTTTCTGTCCTGCACACAGTTTACATTTTATCGTAAGCTTTTTTGCATCCTTTATCCCCACAAATTGAAAATAGTGGTTATATTTCCAAGTTGCAAATGCGCTGCTGCTCTCGTTGATACTTGCTACTTTCATCTGCCATTGTGTGTGTGTGTGCTGGTGGTGAGCGTTGCCGTGTGTGTGTGTGTGTGTGTGTGTGTGTGTGTGTGTGTGTGTGTGTTAGCATTAGCAAGAGTTCGTGTGTGTGTATTTTCCCCATAAGGCAAGACCCGCCAACCAATCATCACTCCTCACTGGTTTCACTTTTCCATGGTGCTGTGAGAGGACATTGCTGTATTCGTCTGTAAGTTACATCCGCAGGGAGTTCGGTTCAGTTCCATCACATAATGTAACGCAGTAACGCACCCATTTAAATCACAGTAACTATAACGGCGTTACTTAATGGGAATAGGTAACTAGTAACGCTATTAGTTACTGCAAAAAGTAGTTGCGTTACAGTTACGCGTTACTTTGTAACGCGTTAGTCCCAACACTGATTATCACTTTAAAAGGGGATCCAACCAGTTACATTCTGTTGTCGGTAACGATGCTAAAAAAATAAACGTTTGAATGAGTTTCCCCATGACAGGCGCTGTGTACCTGAGGGGAGCACTTCTTGCTCTGCCAGTGCACCCACTTCTGCTGAGCTGAAACACAACACAGGAAAACAGTGGAACTTAGTTAAAAAAAAAGCTCAAAAATATTTAACCTTATCCAAACAAGTGGAAAATGGAATGTGAAAAATCACCTAAATAAACACATCTTTGCACGCTGTACACATATTTACAATTGCTATTGTACAAATACCCTTGGTTTTAATAAACAGAACATCATATGAAACAATGTGAGAGTCCATACATGAGTACTTTAATAATACAATTGTGTACACATCTGCTACATATACTGTACTGTATACTGTATCTTTGACATACATCACAAGCCAATCTCAAGGACAATACACTAGCTGTTGCAAAACAGATGCAAAAAAATAACTGTTCTCACACACACACGCACGCACGCACACACACACGCACACACACACACACACACACAGGTTGTGGTATTTGTACAGCAGGAAGCATGTCCTGTTATCGAGTCACAGCTGAATCACAGTGTAGCTAATCAACAACAGAAACCACTGTTTACATGGTTAGCATTTCTCAGCATACATTTCATTTTTATGTTGTTTAATAATATTATGACTTTTTGTTCCAGAAAAATATACATTTTCATCTGTAATTCTGAACTCTAGCACTGCAGTAATATTATCAGTGGGGGTTGGAGGCGTGGGGTGTAACTGACATGCAGCAACAGGTTTTTGGTAAAGCCAATAGCAAATGTGTTGTATCATGCACCACCTCCACAGTGAAACTCACCAATGTCAAACACCCAGAGGGGACATCTCCACTTGGTGTATGCAGAATCCAGCAGTCCTCCAAACACGTATAGGAAGCCCTGAGGACGTCAGAGCGTAATGTTCACACACTGACACATCAGGCAGAGGGATATCAGCAGAGATACAAGCAACATAAGATCCTTTATATGCTTGTTATGGCAATACAAGTAATACAAAAGAAATACATAAAAATCCACTTGATGAGTTTGTACCTCATGGGCAACCATAGAATGTTCCTCTAGTTCTTCTGGTGCAGCGTCACTGGTGCAGTTTAACTCTGTCCACTCGTCACAAACTGAAATGTTTCAAAATGAGTTTTGATAAGTCGGGGATCTTGCAAAACTACTCATCTTTCCTGTCCTTTGTACTTAGGATTGCAAAGGGCGGGATATTTCCGGTAAATTTCCATGGGAAGTTAAGCTGGGGAATTTTGGAAATATTCCATATTTTTAATTAATTAATTTAAGTTTTCCGCACTCTCGCGGGAATATCTCCGCAATGGAGCAAGCTTAAGTTTCACATTCGATTGCATGATATAGCCCAGCGCAACACCTTCATCACACATGTTGCCACTTGTTTGTACCATTTGCAGGCGATGTGTAATCTGTTCTAGAAAAACGATGTGTTTTTGGATACTTGGGGAGTTAGGTGGTCCGTGAGTGTTTTTTTATTGGTTAAGTGGTTCTTGGTATGAAAAAGTTTGAGAAACACTGTACTAGATGAATACATGAGTATGTGATATTTGCAATTTAAACATTAAATAAATATATATTACTCCATAATATCATCAAAACTTACTTCGCTTTGTGTAGTCAACAGGCTCAAATGTGTGGCTTCATTTGTCTTGTGCTTTGGGCTCAAAAGTGTGGTCCTGTCTTCTAGAAATCATCAGTGCATGTGATGGAGGAATGCACAGTGCCTCTAGGGGTTGTGGTACTATCATACAAATCCATTTTCTACATATAGTATATAATGCATAAAATAAAATGCTTCCTAACATCTGTATTACATTCATATTTTTGTTTTGATTTTATTTTTTAATGTTTTTTTAGGCTGTACCAAATGAAATTCGATTGAGTTTTTTCGAATGAAGCAAATCTCTGTCCTCGTATTTGATGACGTAATTTATGCTGTATTGATGCTTAGACCACCACGTTAATACAGGTGCGTGTCTTCCTTTGAGTGCAGCACGGCGGAGAGCAAACTAATGTAAATTGAAGCTGAATACGTTGTAGAAAAAAACATGTTTTGAAAACGATTACATCTATCTCTTTTCTATTAAAGTTGACTTTACAATGGTCTGGAGTTATTGGAATTTATAAAAAACAATATATTTAGCTTCAAAGTATTGGGTACAGTCCTGTTTTATTTTTGTCATCCAGTAGTAAACTCTTCCTTGAGGGCACTAAGGTAAAGTGGACAGTAGCTGTGTGTAGCCCTTACCCACGCTGTACCTCCAGAAGTCCCTCAGACTGCTGTTGTCTCGTCCTCCCAGGATGTAGACGTGTCCACCAGAGCTGCAGCATGCGTGCTTGTAGCGGTCACAGGGGGTCCGGCTGCTGTGGGGGAGCCGCGTCCACAGGCAGGGACCACTCTCACTCATGTCTTGCATCCTCTGCGCTCATGACCATTTTCTAAATGAAGCAATATTTGAGAAAAGTTAGCACATAATGTAATAAATGCACCTTTAACCAAGTCTGTTTTCATACAGCCTTCTATTACATCCCCTATGGAGTGGTGCAATAAGGAGGTTTTTTTGTAGGCTGACACAGAAGTTAGCATCACAACAGGGCTCCCTCTACTAAAAGCAATGGGATTCTTACATTGGATTTCAGAATATTGCAGAAAATGAGCTCTGTGGCAAACACACGTTTATGATACCTTCATGTATTAACACCACAACAGATGAAGCTTAAATGCAATCACTAGAAGTAAAAAGCTAACTCTATAAACTGACTATATCATGGTCACATGACATCACCACCGCTAAGCTTGCAGCGTGATGACGTTTAGTAGTTTAATTTAGTCACTTGTTAACTGTTGTTTTTATGACACATAGAAGCATCAGACGTGCATACACCAGTGGTGTATGTACTGATGTATTTGACGTCATCAGAGAAATCGGGAAAATCTCTTAAACCTGCGGTAACCACATATTATACACTTTATATCAGGCCTCTCCCCAAAAACACAATCAAAAATGAAATAAGTTATTTCCACATGTTTGGACTCACTCCTGCTGCACCACTCTTGATTAGTTTACTAGGCTGACTGTAGGTCAGTTTGGTTGGGCGTCCGTGGCTCAGTCTGTGGAGACTAGGGTTCACTTCCTGGGCCCTGCCGAGGTGCCCTTGAATAAGGCACCGAACCCCTAACTGCTCCCTGGCGCAGGCACCGACTGGCTGCCTTTCCGCTCTGGACCTCTACAAAATGCATGTGCAATGCATGTGTGCACCTGTGTGTATTTGTACTGTGTCTTGTACAAAACATGCATGTTCATGTGCACCTATATATTTGTACTGTGTGTTTAAAACACTGTGTTGAAACTGAATGTACCTCTAGGGGGGATAGATAAAGATTCATGACTGACTTGTTCTTCTTTTTCTACAAATAACAACCACAACTTTAAAAATTACATTTTGAAGTTGGGAAAAGTAGTATCACACAGCCCTCCCGGTCATTTTTCAGTGGTGATGTGTAACAACAAAAACACAACCGAAGCAGTCCAGCGGGGTTAGTGTCTGACAAACAGGAGTGAGTCCTCCACTTCCTGGTTAGCCAACAAAACGACGTCATCCCTGTAGGACTTTATAGCGTGGGAATCGCGTTGCAGCAAGTAAAACATTGCCCAGCTTTACTCTTAATATGTCATCTGTTTGTATCAGTGACCTTGATCACAGGTTTGTGCTAAAGAAGAGCAGAGAACACAGCACATATCCACCAAACAAACTTCCTGCTTCAGCAAACCACCATCATGCTGAGAAAATGAGCGTCAGGTACACTGAAAAAACTGAAACGTTGACTTTCATTAAATGTACTGTATTATGACAACAGATCTCACATAACTGTATGAGGTTAGTAGAAAGCGATAATATGGTTTTATTAGGTTCAACTTAATAGTATTGCTTTCAACTAACCTAATACAGTTATGTGAGATTTGTTGACATAATACATGTAATTAATCTGTACATTGCTGTACAAATAATAATACCTTACAGTAAGGACACTATACAGCAAATACAACAGCACAGTTTGTGCAGAATATCAGTATGAGAAAACGACACCCTCTGTCCTTAGACCCTCACATCGTACAAAGAAAAACTTCCAGAGAAAACCCAGTTTAAAGGGGAACATGGGAGAAACCTCAGGGAGAGCAACAGAGGAGGGATCCCTCTCCCAGGACGGACAGACGTGCAATAGATGTCGTGTGTAAATCGAAGAGATAATAAATTTACAACATAGGTAGACCGAATATTAGGAAATTGCATGGTGTCTATAATAAGAAGATGAATCCACGAGGATGTCGAACAATCCTGTGGAAGCCAATCAGGGAGGCAGCATGACGAGACCCAGGCAGGGGACCGCAGAGACAGGGGTTTAAGCCACGACCCGAAGTCCACGACTTAATCCCAGAACCCCCCCTCAGGGGGATAGAGGATCAGGACACAGGACCACAGCAAGAGGATCAGTGAATTTACATGTTTTCAATGTGCCTTGTGGAATGGTATGGCTCTTGAGAACGGGAGACGTCTTTAATCACCGCATTCATTAGGGTAAATAACGTCGACGGTNACACACACACAATGGCAGATGCAAGTATCAGCGAGAGCAGCAGCGCATTTGCAACTTGGAAATATAACCACTATTTTCAATTTGTGGGGATAAAGGACGCAACAAATATTACGGTAAAATGTAAACTGTGTGCAGGACAGAAAGCATTGTCCACATCGAATAACAGCAATGCCAATCTCCTGAAACACCTAATGTACATGTGGGGAGTTGTCTTTTCTCTTACTGTGCCACAGAACAACACAAAAACTTGTATTTTTATTCTTATTATTTTTAAAGTAAAGTAACTTGTTACTAGTTACTTTTATAATTTAGTAACTAATAAAGTAACTAGTTACTTTTTGAGAACAGTAACTATAACTATTACTAGTTACTTTTTAAAAGTAACTTGCCCAACACTGGTGAGCACACACACAAACTCCCAGCCAGGCTATGGGTGTGTGTGTGTGTGTGTGTGTGTGTGTGTGTGTGTGTGTGTGTGTGTGTGTGTGTGTGTGTGTGTGTGTGTGTGTGTGTGTGTGTGTGTGTGTGTGTTCAGGCTTGTTTCGGGCTGGGTTTTTCTGTGTCTCGCTGTCTCGCAGATGGCCACTGGGCTCATTGGAGGGGGGGGCAGGAGCTCCAACAAGCCGTTTAGGACGGACAGAGAGTGAATACACATACTTTACAGAGATGCTGTATGAGAAACCAAATGGCCATGACATGGGACCTTTAAAGCCAGTTGCTGCTGCACTTCACCACTAGGTGGAGGCAAACCGCTGTTCAAACACACATTGAAACACAGCAGTGAAGATAAAATGACAGAAGTAGAGCAACTGAGAGAAAGCTAGAAAGTGATAGGGGAAATGATAATAAGAGTGGGAATAAGTTCACAAAAAGATAAATCCTTCCAAGTCTCCAGCCGTTGAAGCAAATGCTATTTTATGTTTCACAAGACTGGAGCACACCTGGGATGGACTCTTTGCACAGCAGGGTTGCTGAGGAGGATAACTCTCTACCTCCTGCACCGCCTCTTTCCTCCACGCTCGCTTGCACAAGCAATTATTACAGAGCAGCTGTGGGGTCCTTTAGGGCCCCCTGTAAACCAGGGACCGCCTCCTCTGGCTGAATTCAAACCATCACTACAAGTGTAGAACTTCAACAAGAAACCAACCACTTGTTATAACAGGGGTGTCCAAACTTTCTTCAACGAGGGCCACATACAGAAATATATACGAAGGGCTGGGCCCTGAGTTGTATTGCCTCATAAGTTCAGTTATAAGTTAGTAAAATCAATCAAATGTAGGTCAATGATGCTTGTGAGTGTTGGCAGATCATTCCTTAAAACAGAAGCCTCAGATTGATTATGATAAGGAGAAATAGGAAGGGTGTATTTCAAGCTTGTTATGTAAATAAGTCATTGGGCTTTTTTTCTTATCAACTAAGATATGTTATCAAATGTTTCCAACTTTAATTGACTGAATTTATTTGAAAAGTGGTCTTATTAACACATGAATACTACTGTGTAATATATTTTTACATTTATATTTAAGAAATACAATATAAAACAAATACAAGTTTCATTGGTGGGCCATATTCCATTATACTTTTTGAATTTACCGAGGGCCGATGGTTTGGACATCCCTGCTTTATAAACTAAGAAATGGCAGGCGTAAACAAATAAAATAGAGGAGAATTCTTTTTTTAAAGACCGTTTCTCCTCATTCAGAGTGTCTGATGGGGAAATGTGCCAGGTACAACATTCACCAGGGACAATTCCAGGGGGCAGGAAGTAGCCGGAGTAAAATGGAGAGATTATGTGTTGCAGCAGGTTATAGGTCCCTCTCTGCTGCTTATTTGAAGGAATCCAGGATGCTCGTTTCCGAAATCTCATCAATAACAGCACTGGTCTCCGTGTGATGAAGTGCTATTTATGCCAGCTATGTGCAGCAGCATTTATTTTTTGGGAACTGTTTATACTGTAGCTAGAGCCGGAATCTAGACGAGTTCCTGTGTTCAGTCAGGTTTGCTGGTGACACTTTTAGAGAGACTCAGAGGAACTTTGGTTTCATATTTTTTTTTACATGGACTTAAAAAGTTGTGTTTTAGCTGAAATCTCACATCTGTCTTTTCTCCTGCATGTGCACTGAATCAGTGTCTTGTTAATACTCATTCTTAAAGTCACTCATCAGATTGAATGATTTGGGTGGAAGCTCATGTTTGATACTTGTTTATGGGGGAAATGATTCATTTGTGAGAAACAGGACGTCCAATCAGTTGCAGATATTTTCCTAGAATCTTTCTCCTATAATCCTACTGAAATAAAAATGATCAGCCGCCTTTGAACATTTTACTGCCAGTTGACTCATTCACCCTGTTTCCCTCCGGCTTCGTAAAGCCAAGTAAGTTTATTTTCAAACTTAGAAGTTTTCTTGCATTTTTCTCCTCTTAAACCCCATATGTTTGGGTTCATCATACTACTTAAATATGATTGCGGTCCTTAAATGCACTTTCTTTTAATTCCCCACAGCTTTTTTTCCTAATCTGGACCCCTCAGCTTTCATCTTAGTCCTCAATTGTAATGACTGTATGAAATAGAAAGCATATGATGCTCTCTTTTAAATCTTCATCCCAACATCCCACTCTGAACACAGTCAGAGAATTGAGAGGCAGCAGGGTAGGGAAAGAGAAATGCACATCTGTGGCGCAGCGCTAATTATTAGGGAATATTTGGGGGGGGAATGGGGGAGAAAAAGAGAATGGGCTTTGGAGCTGATCCATCCTCAGATCCTCTTCCAAGCGCCTGTGCCCGTGGTGGTGTTGCTTGTTTCATCTCCGCCTCTCAAGTGTGGTTTTATTGCACTT